CCACAGGGGGTTGTGCTCCATCTAGTTTCCACTATTTACAGATCATGACACGGGCCTTAACCAGTGTTAAGAGCTGGCCTTACACTGGATGGCTTAGGGGAGTGCTGAGTCCAGCAATCAAATGATTTGAAGGACCTAAAAGCCTTGCCACCTGCCAATCTCACCCTCCTCTTCCACCTCGTGCTTCCTAGCCGGCTGCATTCCTTCAAGTGAAATAGTATCTTTAGGACTTGCCTTTCCTCAGACAGGGGAGATGCATTATTAGTAACATCTTGATAAGGATTTCATTGGTCTGACCTGAATTTGTGAGAGAAACAAGAAAGCTTGGCACAAAATGCTGAAAGTGGGAGACGACCTGAGAAATCCCAAGTGACAAAGTATCTTCTCTCTCCCACAAGTTGTTTTCCTTAGGGGCTCCCTGCTTAACCAGATTTACTGTTAAATCCCAACATAGATTCTCAAATATTTCCTAACTGATGGAAGTGACAGTTGGGGGGTCAGAATAATCCATCACAACAACTCTTTTTGTATCTAAGTCATGCTAGTGGCCACTACCTTGAAAGGTCAGGTCCACACCAGCTTTTCCTAAGACTGCAGGGCCCCCACGGTCCTTGCGCAGTAACATTTCAATGCAAGAACAGCTCAGTTCAGAGTGCTATTTTTGTGAAATTAAGGCACTTTTGTCTTTGTTCCATGCCAAATGCTTTTCTCTATCTCTCTCTCTCTGAACTTGGCCTTGATTGATAAAATCCTTTCTATTTCTATTAGGTGAAGCCAGTGAAAGCAGGAATGGTGTTTATCCAGGGCTTAAATTAAACCTTACAGAGCTCTCTCCCTGGCTGCCCCTCCTCCCCCTCACTTTTCTATCAGTAGACTTCCAAGGAAGCTTTCATTTGGCCAGCTGTTTGTTCCTATTTTACATGATGGTTCTCAGTGTTCAGCGGGAACAAAGATCAGTGACATTCCCATTGGGTTTATCAGAAGCAACTGAGAACAATGAGCTCTTTTTATGTTGAAAATAGAGATTTAAAATTTATTCATAATCTTTACTTCTCCCAACACATTCTCATCCCCATGGGCTCCTTTCTCTAATTAGCTATGCAAGTCTTGACACTAAAATTTAGCTACATATTAATCTTTCATTTTTATTAGTTGGTGTCTTGATCTTCCTCCCTATACAAGCATAGTATATGCTTTTACTTAAATACATTTTGTTTGTTTACAAAAAAGAGCATATAAAAACAAGAGCTTATGAAAACATTAGATCTGATTCCATAGATGATTTTAAAGTATATTTTGAATATGTCAAGTTTGTAATCATTGGGCCACTCCTGAAATTAAGATGCTAGATAAGTCCAATTCATACAAAATGTAAAGTGGAGTTTAGCATTTATGAAGCTCCTACTATGTGCCAGGTGGTATGACATGGATTATACATCCATCATCTCTATTTAATCTTCACAACATTGTGAGCTGCATGTTGTTATCCTTATCCTATAGGTTGACAAACAGAGGTGAAGAGTATGCATAGAATCCAAGCCTGTCTGACCCCAAAGCCTAAGGTGTCTACTAGGTACAAATATTAGAGCCAAAAGGAATCTTGGGGACTATCTAAGATAGTGGTTTTCCAAAGCGTAGGATGGGTACCAAAAGGTGGTACATGGGACATTGTATTTTAAAACGCTATAGTAAAAACGTTATTTTTTTAATGCTCTTCTAATCCTTTTAATAATATCTGGAGGAAATTCAGTTGTGTTGTCTCTAGCACTTGCTCATCTGCTTTTCTAGCAGATGTCAGCTCATAGTGTTTAAAGACAACATCTACTGAAGATATAATTACATATTTAATTTTCATTGTAATTATTTTTATAGCTACTGCAAATGATGCTAGTTTTCTATTTTAATAGTCATTTAAATTTTAATATTCAAAGTAAGTGTATATAAGTGTGTATGTATATGTATATAATGATATAAAGATGTGGTTTAAAAACAAACATGAAGATGCCACTGGAAATCTGGATGTTGGGGACACAGATCTGGAGATGCTAAGTGAAAACTTATACAATTGAAGAAACTGAGGTCTAGAGAGATGTAGTTAAGAGTCCATGTACAAATTTCTTGAATTGCTGAAACACAATCATTTACCAAAACATACAATGACCTCCTCAGAAGCAAATTAATTTCCACTCTTCCCCCTTGTTTTTCCTGGAGGTTCATCAAACATCTTTTGACAAGCAAATAGAGATGACAATTAAAAAAACAAGAAATTGTTTCCTTCCAGAGCAGTCACATAGTTACAGTTTTCTTCCTGTTAACTGGTGTGACATTGAAGTAGATGGTATTTTAGGTTAGTTTGAGAAACTGGGTATTCAGATTAAATCAGAAGTAGATGTTATTTGTTTTTTTATAAAATTTACATTATTTAGATATTTCAATGTATAGAAAATTCAAGTATAAGCTATAGCTGTTATAATAGAAAGGCTATTTGCTAGCAGGAGAGTAGGTAGACTCACCTCTAAAAAAACTTAACAGGTTAAACAATTTTCCAACATTATCTCTTGACAGTGTAATTATCAGAACCTCTTCAAAGATTTTTGATATAGCTATCCAAGTGTACATCTGGCGATGTATTGCTTTCAGTACTTAGAAGTACTAATGTGGACTGCTTCCAATATAACATGCCTGCATTGCCACGCAGCTACTGGGGAATATTTTGGGGATACCCATAAGATACCTCAATATTCTGCTCTATTCTAATTGGACTGTGTCATTTGTTAACAGATAGACTTCCTAAGGCTGCTGCTATTCGGGCTGTCAGAGGTACCACCTTTTTTACAACACTTAAAAGATTCCAACCTGGAGGGCCAGCCTGTGGCTCACTTGGGAGAGTGTGGTGCTGATAACACCAAGGCCGCAGGTTCGGATCCCTATATAGGGATGGCCAGTTAGCTTACTTGGGAGAACGTGGTGCTAACAACACCAAGTCAAGGGTTAAGATCCCCTTACTGGCCATCTTTAAAAAAAAAAAGACTCAACCTGGTACATATGAGTCCGACACTGAATTTCAGAGAGCAAGTTTTTGTTAGAACTGGGTTCCCCAAGTACAGCACTTCTGGAAAATAAGCGGCTTTAATCGGTTATTTCTTTATATTGTCTTAAGTAAAAGGCAATAATATAGATTTGCTGAGATGCTACCAAAATTCACCAGCCCACCATCATCAGCAATAGCATACTCAGGAAAAGAATGGGGCAACCCTGGGAAAGACATACACCTGTCATTAGTCTTGTGTTATACTGTCAGCATCTACTTGTAGAGCTTCAACTACCACCTTGGGCATCTGATTCTCCTTCAGCTCCTTTCCCATTTTTGCCTCTTCACCCATGAGATGGTGACCTCTAGAGAGAGGCAATAAAGTGTGTGCTCTCTAGTCACCTTACCTGGGTTCAAATTCTGGTTTTAATACTTCCATGATGACTTGTTTACCATTCCATACCTGAGCTTCGTTATTTGCAATGGGATGTTATCTCCTGCAGCTGCTGTAAGCCTAAGAATTAAATAATTTGATATACGTAAAGCACCAAAACCGGTACCTTTCATATAGCAAGTTCTCAGTATGTTACTATTTTCCAACCACATCGTATTTTTCTTAGATGCCCAGTCTATCTATTCATTCAGTCAACATTTACTGAGCACTTACTATGTGCAAGGCACTATTCAAGACACTTGCAATACACCAATGAACAAAACCAAGAAAAATTCCTGCCCTTGTGGGGCTTTTCAGATAGAGGTAGACAGAAAATAATCAATAAATATAACTAATTAAATTGTATACCACATTAGAAAGTGGTAAATGTTGTAGGAGAGAAAACAGAGGTGAGTAAGGGTCTTTGGAGAGCTGGCAAGGGTGAGATTTAATACATATGTTAAATAAAATATTCCTAAAAATCATTTTTCTGGGAAAATTAAATTCCCTTCTTGATTTCTATTTACTGATAATCATTGTTACCCAGGTTTAGAAACACAGTCAACTTAGTTTCTTCTCTACTTTCCCCATAGCCTGTCATTAAATCCCATGTACTGTTTTGTTTTGTAATGTCTCTTGAATCTATCCTGATTTGAGCACTTAGGCCTGGGTTTCTTTTGTGACCTAACTAGTCTCTACTGCTTCTAGTCTCTCCCTGATCTAATCCATCCTACACTTCACTAGCAAAGCAATAGACCCATTAACAGCTTCATCATATCTCCTCCTTTATTTAATGCCTATGGAATAAAGATCAAACTCTTAAGGGATGTTTATAATCTAGCAATTCCACTTCTGGGTATATACCCAAAATAAATGAAAGCACAGACTTGAACAGATATTTGCATACTACTGTTCATAGCAGCATTGCTCAACAGCCAAAAGGTGGAAACAACCCAAGTGTCCATTGATGGATTGAATAAACAAAATGCAGCATACACAATGTGATTATTCAGCTTTGAAAAGGAAGAAAATTCTGATATATGCTACAACATGGATCTCGAAGACAATATGCTGTGTGAAATAAGACACAAAAGGACAAATCTTGTATGATTCCACTTATACAAAGTACCAAGAACAGTCAAATTCACAGATAGAAAGAAAAATGTTTACCAGGAGCTGGGAGGAAGAAGGAATGGAGAGTTATTACTTATTAGGCAGAGTTTTAGTATGAAATGATGAGAAAGTTCTAGATATGGACAGTGGGGATGGTTGCAAAGCAATGTGAATATTCTTAATGCTACTAAACGGCACAACTTAAAAATGGTTAGAACGGTAAATTTTATGTTATATATTTTCCCCTACAATAAAAAGTAGTTCGACTGAGGAACCAAATTTTCAATTTTAATTAAAAGTCTAAAAACTAGTATTTGATTCAGTTATTGCAAAACTTTTAAGTATGTTTGGAACAACATGTATGTAAATTTCATGATGTCTCACTATGTAAAGAAGTCCTTATTTGAAATACAGAAAAATATAATCTCACACTTGTTCGAATTGCCAACATTGTTTTAAAGCCTGGGGCAATGCTAATATAACTATCTCCTTTCACTATTGGGGGAAAATATTCCACTTTACACCACAAGCCTAATTTAAGTTGTAAATTAAATAACATACCTTTAAAAAGTTTCAATGACACATAAAAGCATCTAATTATTCATAGACCACCTAAAGAAACACAAGTTTTATTCACAGAAGCACATTAAATCAAAAGTACATGCCAACACCACCAAAATGGTTTTATTTTTTTCATACACAACATATACACACAGCAATTTACCATTATTTTGTTCAGTTTCTTAAATATTACTTAGGTATGCATTAAAAATATATGTTTACATTTAAGAAATGTGACACATTAAAGAAGTCCACTGTAAACATAATTCCTTCTCATTATATTTTCCTGCTTTGTTCCATACATAAATAACTTAATCTATAAACTTAGGTATGCATTAAAAATATATGTTTACATTTAAGAAATGTGACACATTAAAGAAGTCCGCTGTAAACATAATTCCTTCTCATTATATTTTCCTGCTTTGTTCCATACATAAATAACTTAATCTATAGAGTTATAAATAAAACTATCAACCTCTTATGGCCTAGAAGTATACACAAATTTTGGAGTCTGACAAAGTGTTCTTTTTAGGATTTTATAAATAACAACATACAGTATTTGCAGTGCTTATTAGCAGTCAAATGACTTATCATAAGTTCTTATTGTCTCCAAACTTGTTCTGCCAATAATAGACCTTCCAGTGCACTTGATAAAAATGCCATGTATAAAAGTCAAAAACGTCAAAAGCCTAGACTGAAAAAAACAAACAAAAACAGCAGAGAAGGATGTTATTTAAATATTACGAAGTTTTTTAAAAACCACTTCAGCTTGTCTGAAAATGAAAAATGCTACTAAAGAGTGAATGCTTGTACCATCATTTAAATGGTACTGTATCTAACAAAATCTAAAATTTAAGAAATGATACATAAAATCATATTAAATCTATATCAGTCTTGAAAAAAAATTCCATTTGACATTCTGTTTCAGGGACAGAATCAATACTATCCTAAATTTTCTAAAATTTATTTTGGAATCATTACTTTGATGAGTTAAAACTTTAAGAGTAAAAATGATGACCCACAAATGATTTTAGCCATACATATAATTCCTGATACAAAAGATTTGATTATTTAGTTTTTGCTTAATGACTGGAAATACTTATTTCTTCAGAAAATATTAAATATCTGTTGAAACAAACCACCTATTTAGCAATTTATTAAATAGACCCTCAAGATTTACTAGGTAAGCATTCAAATTAGTTTTATGTAATAAAAGTAAAAAATTTTGCATGTTGGCTGCTTACTTTTATACATTACTTTTTAAAGAATTCATTTAAAGGATATGAAATTTAGAAAGAAAAACATTAACTAATATTCTCATTAGCTTTAACTATTTCAAACTATAGATAATACTAAGCTAAGCAATGTCATTTTCATTACTTTTAAATCTAAGTTTCTAAAAGTTTCATTTTTCAATCAATACAAAAATTATCTGATTCACACTATTAACCTTCCAAACAAACTGTTTAAAAATCTAAATACTCTGTTAAAGAATGGATTACAAGAAATGTTTTCCATGCTCTTATTTTAAAAAACAAAATTCTGATATACATAATGAATCTAAATCAAAATTCACAAATGGTGGCTGAAATCCTGTCAACTACCAGCCCAATACAACATAAATCTACAGTTATTATGCATAAACAATTTAAAATTAAAGTTTATAATGGAAATGTCAACAAGTCATAACTACTGCACATCACTACTGATGGGTTCCACTGTACTTCAAAACCAGGCACAGCAGATGTGCACAGCTGACAGACAGCCTGCTTAGAAAATTAAAGCTATCAGAGCTATAAATAAGGAATACATAAATATCAACACAGCAGTGCTAAAGCATTAGGGCCGTTAAAAAAAAAAAAACTGAATGAGATGTGAAGTAAACATATCTGATATTTCTCTCTGTAAGCCACTTTCCACTGATTTATAAAGCTATAGTTTTGTAATTCTTTAAAAAGGAAAATTTTTCTACACAGCCACATGCAGTAATTTCATTGTACATTCTTGACTATAATGCAATCTTCAAATCCTCTTGCAGAGCTTGACACATCTCATCAGGATTTCTCCAGAAAGTCAGCTTGTCATATTTTCAGCAGCCTAGAACAAGATAGTAAGATTCATTATAATAAAACCATGGAAAAAGAGACACTGTCAAGATAAGTTTGTCAATACTGCACTGTCATTAATAAATAACTATTCCCCCATATAACCAAACCACTTTTATCAGGATAATGCAGTGGTTTTCATTTTTGCTGTACATCAGGACTACCTTTTGAACTTATTACTAGGCTAACAGTAGAAAATACTTATATCTTCTTAACTAACAGCACTGCTACTTGAAAAATTAACCTATAGCAGACCTTGTTCCCAGAGTCTTCATTAGTTTGTCTGTTTCCATATATTTTATTACAGTGGAGATTAAGAATGAAAAAGACCTTATATGTTACAAGATAGAATAAGAGCAAAAGAAGAATAATGAAAACATGGCTAATCCTTTTTTTCCCACACTCAACTACTAAACTTTCCCAGATGATTCTGAAAAAATACCCAGACACCGTTATCATTCCTCAATAAATGATTTAACATGTGTTTCTAAAAAGACTTAAAAAACCCCTACTACTACATCTGAAAAAAGTAATTTCTTAATGCCAATATGAAAAGATATGATTTTAAGTAAGTTTAATTTTAGAAATACATATTAGACTTTTCAATCATTTACATTTCTATTTCCTAATTAAAACTTGCTTTTAGTTTAAGTTAAGAGCTCTTTCATGAAAATCCCTTAAAATACTGGGAAAATTGTAGATAATGCAATCTGAAATAAGGCTGAAATTCCTTTGCAGCCAGAAGAACCCAACCTTGTTTTTCTACATAGTTGGCTCACAGATCTATTCTAAATTAGCCTTTCCCTCCTCTGTGTTTGCTACTCAAGAGAATTAGAACCTAGTCTGAAAGAAATTCTATTGTTCTAAAACATTTGTTACTTAGTTCTATCCTTATAGGTTATTAGATTAGTTTTAGCCACATACCCTTTAGGGACTCTGTTATCTCTTCAGCCCCATTTTCAGTATTACCTAGTTCAAACACTTGAATTATATACAATTTTTACAATTTTTTTAAAAATTCAAACACCTCAGTTCAAATGCAATTTAATTAGTCTTGTCCCATTCCATTTCATATTAATTTTAGAGGTTCTCCAACATGCAATGAATCAAGTATTTTCACTTAAACTAAGCCAAGCCATGCTGTAGCATTCATATTATACAAATGCAGAACTTTATTTGAAAGGTCAGCAGTAGCATCCTAGAGACCTATATAGTTATCAGACTGCCACTAAAGTCTCCAAAAATTTGCAGGGATCAGCCCTGGGAAAAATCAACCTTAGTAGTCCCCTTCTCTTCCAAACTTTCCTCTTCTGTACAAAGGTTAGCTCCTTCCCTTGAGTGGATGGGTGGGGGCCCATGGGATTTATTTAATCCTTACTGCTAGGCTAACAGTAGAAAATACTTATATCAACTCCAACTCCAAATAATTCTCTCTCAACTCCAAATTCTACAGCTCTAATATCCTCATGCTTTAGACCCTCCTACACGGTGAGGGACACATGAGAGATTTACCCTAAGGTATAGGCTGAGTATTCCTTCTTTGAAATGTTTAAAAGTGTTTCAATGGATTTTTTCAAATTTTGGAATATTTGCAGATACTTAACGGTTGAGCATCCCTAATCTGAAAATCCGAAATGCTCCAATGAGCATTTCCTTTGAGTGTCATGCCGGCAAAAGAAAGGTCAAAGCTTAGTCCATAGGAATGCATCAATAATGGTATATAATTCAAGGCACCATGGCATCAAAATAGAAGATACAGAAAAGTAGATTTTGCCTAGATTTCTCAAAACACAATATGTAGATGCTTGCTTACACATAAATACTAGCACTAAGGAGATAATATAAAAATTCAATGCCAGTAAGGAATCATTCATAAAATACACTGAATTAACAGTCCTATATATCCTGTGGGAGACACACATAAGGGGGGCATATCGGTTGCTCTTAAGGAACTTTTCTAATTGGGGAGACAAACAGCTAGCTACTTTTACTATATATGATTTAGACAGTAACAATAAATCTATGAAAGTAAAAGGCAAAATAATAAACAAAATGTTGTACTATTTTCTACATAGTTAACTAAAGAGCAAAAGAAAAGAGTATTTCAGACCAACAGTTCCTTGCAACATTTCAGGATGCCCCTCATTTACATTTTATATATTCAAAAAATAGAGACAATAAGTATCATACAATTAAATTCTAAAAACTAGGAAATCTAGATAAAGATAGTAGAAAGTAACAGGAACAGTTTCTCTCTAATTATAATACCAAAGAAATAAAAAAATATGAGAAAAAATTCATTAGCAGTAACTATACATGAAAAGGACAACCTTATGTTTGTGAAGTCTGTAAATGGGTGGTCAAAAGAAAGACAGGCCTGGCTCATGCAGCTCTGAACCAACCAGCTCTCCACCCAGTCCCAACAGCAAGCAGTTCAGACAACAGACTTTCATCCATAGAGAAGCAAACTGACAAGAGTTCTTCTTTTTTAATTAAGTAAAATTAAGTAAATACTTTTGTTTTTAAAATGGCATGATACCACCTAGAGTGATGGTTATTATTGCTAGTTATCTCTTGGGTGATCCTGAGTCAATTTTTTGTTACATTCTTTGTATTTTCTGACTTAAATATTTAAAAGTTATATAGGGTCGGCCTGGTCCGTGGCTCACTTGGGAGAGTGTGGTGCTCATAACACGAAGTCCACGGGTTCGGATCCTGATGGAGTTTGGATGTGTTGTCCTCTCCAAAACTCATGTGGAAACTTGATCTCCAACTGGCAGTGCTGGAAACTGATTGAGTCACGGGGGCAAATCCCTCATGAATGGATTAATGCTCTCCCTTGGAGTTTGGATGTGTTGTCCTCTCCAAAACTCATGTGGAAACTTGATCTCCAACTGGCAGTGTTGGAAACTGATTGAGTCACGGGGGCAAATCCCTCATGAATGGATTAATGCTCTCCCTTGGGGAGGGGGGATTAAAGAGTG